AGGGACTAGCAGTGGACAGTGACAGGCCCTCTTTCTGGAGACATCAGGGGTCACCTGATGTCTCCCTTGCTCTCCAAATCAACTAACCAAGCACAGATTGTGTTCTGTCAACAGCTTCCCTGGTTGCAGCAGCCACGGAATGGCTGCTCTGAATCCTGAAGTAACAAATGTTGCTTCTGGGTTCATTCGTTTTAGAGAGGAAATGGGCTCCTTTGTGGGAAGCTGTCCCAGCCACTTACTGTGGTACGGGGCTCCCGGAAGATCAAGAGAGCCCTAGAACCACGTGGGAGGGGGGGCCTTTTCCATCTCTGTAAATTGATTGTGTGGATGTAAAGCCACCCAGCTTACTGCAAGAAAACAGCAGCCGTGATCATAACCAATTGCTGACAGGGTGTTTTACATACATTCATCAGTCAACAAGTGGTTATTCTCACTTTCTGTTGTGGTTTTAGGACACAAAGTGAAAGGAAATCTCAGTGCAGTACAGATGGCAATAAACAGGCTTACTTTATAGAGTTTTGGCTTTATTTCTACTATAAGAAAAGAGATTCTTTAGGACTAGATATGGGGGGCACACAATCAATATATAAAACAGATGCACGGGGGGTCAGTTAGCACAACATGGCGATCTTGCATGAGCCATTTTGGCAAGGTGTTTTGACATGTAGTAGAACATATGAATGCGTTTAAACTGTATCAGTTTATCTGCACCGCTAATTGTGGTATCAAACCAAAATTGTTCCATCTTGGTCACTCCAAGTTGCATAGCAATTGCTCTAACCGCCAAAAAAAAAAAATAAAGGAACAGAGGGCACCAGCCTAGCCCATTACCTCAGCGATAACTTTATTATTGTAAAAAAGCAGATGGATACTCAAAGCAACATCAATATAAATGCACATCAATCCACCTTGTTCTCGAAGCATCCTGATCTCCTAGACAAAAGAGCGAAAAGACAATCCAAAATTGTGACGTGTTTCGGAGGGGATCCCCTCTTCCTCAGAGCTAATTTTGGATACAGCACAACTGATGCATATTTTTTGACAGAATTGCCCATGTTCTGCTTTGTGTGTGTTCATGCAGTGCGGCAGAGCAGAGTGCCTGCATTATCACATAGTGCTTCTTGTCCCAAATCCACCTCAGTAAGTTATCCCCAGACATGTAATCGGAAGTGTTCTGTACCACCAGCCACTGGAATACACAGCAGTGACGCACTTCCGGTTCCAGAAATGACATTTCCAGAAACTGGAAGTAACATCTATTATCAGTGGCTGGAATGCACAGCCGTAACACACTTCCGGTTGCATTCCTCCGCATCATCATCCATTTTGGACACATCCACTTTGCCTTAATTCAACAGCAGCCGACACTAGCCATGGCAGAATTTGGCAATTCTCTCAGATGTGAGATATCTCTGCTTGATTGTGTCCATTGCATTCAGTGGACCTTGTTGGTATGTCACTATGTTTGCCAGCAATTTTATTTATACATACAATAATTTTTATCTATATTTGTGACATAATGACTACTTACATCTATAGTTGTATTCACATCTGTGCTCTGTCTCTATATATTCTGTGATTGGGCATCCATCTATTTATTTACATGTGGGAGTCCCCCACCCACTGATGGGAGGAGTTGGCATTGGATACCATGTGATCTTTTCACTCTTCATATAAACATCAGTTGTGCTCTATCCAAAATTAGCTCTGAGGAAGAAGGGATTCCCCCCTCGAAACACATCACCTTTTTGGATAGTCTTTTCGCAGTTGGGACTTGTCTAGACGGCCAGGCTGCTTAGAGTACACTGTGGATTGAAGTGCATTTATTTTGGTGTTGCTTGTGAGTATAAATTTTTTTTGTTTTCCATTAAAGTTATTGCTGAGGCAATGCGCTAGGCTGGTGCGCCCTCTGTTCCTTGTTTTTTGCAGTTATTTCCTGTGTTCCCCCGACCCGTTGGAGGGCAGCAAGGCTGGTGTTATAATTTGATTATCTGATGTTCCCAATACATGTGCCAGTACACTTCTCTGGAGCACAGGAGATTATCTTTTTGCATCTGCAATTGCCCTAACTACCTGTCCACTGTTGTCACTACAGGTGCTGAGTCAGTCCTTTCTCCCTCTGCTCCTCAAACATAGTTACATAGTTAGTCTGGCTAAAAAAAGACAAAAGTCCATTCAGTTCAACCATTAAAAAAAAAAAAAAAAAAAAAAAAAAAAGTTATAATCCTATACCCACAGTTGATCCAGAGGAAGGCAAAAAAACCCAGCAAAGCATGATCCAATTTGCTCCTGCAGGGGAAAAAATTCCTTCCTGATCCCCCCAAAAGGCAATCAGATATTCCCTGGATCAACCTTACCTATAAATGTCAGTATATAGTTATATTCTGTGTATCTAGGAAAGAATCCAGGACTTTTTTGAAGCAATCCACTAATTGAACAAACAGAACTAAGCAAGTTTACCTGTAGTTTGTGCTGATAATTTGCGCACCGCTGAAAGCTTGCATGTTGCTTTCTGGTGCAAAGAATTTCAGCATTAGTTTTTGGTGTTTTCATCAGTATAGAGATGAGGTTAAGGGTTATGGTATTAGATGATGGTCAACAGTAAGACTTGAGGATAGGTTCACGTTAACATTATAGCATTGGGTTTAAGTCGAGGATAACACTTTGGGTTCAGTTACCTTCAGAGGTTAATGCAAGGCTTAAGATCTGGAATTTAGCTAGAATGCCCTAAAGTCAAAACTTTCTGTGTTTTCTAGTTTTGGAAAGTATGACATGTTTAACCTCCTCGGTGGTATGATTCTTTCCGATTTTTTGTGCTGAAAGCAGTACCATTTTTTTGCATGGAAATATGTAGTTTTTTATTGTAGGCTGTAATTTTTAGGAATAACTCACTGAAATCTGTCCGAACAAGAGTCTATTAAACATTCCGGGTATGATAAAATTTGAAACACGAAATCATAAATTATAATTTATTAAATAATCATAAAAAATATTATAATAATAAATTTAATTCAATAATATAGTCAAACCAAAAACACTGAAATTTGAAATACAGAGGCAAATTTGCACATCGCTGAGCAAAGTCGCAAAATCGTTTTCAGTGTCTGATGACGAATTTCCCCACAAAGCATCACTAAATTCTGCAAGTGGTTCTGATTTACTATCGCTGTTCTCTAGCCGGTCTAAAACCACTTTTGACGTAAAGGGACGCTTTTTGGACGCCATGGACTTTTCTAAGTTTCCAAGCAAAAAGAACAGTAAAAATGCAGGCAGGGCACAGGACAATGCAGTAGGGACAAAATGTATGTGAAATGCATTGAAACAGCAATGACAGCAAAAATTACATTTTTTTAAAAATTTCAAATTTCCCAACGGTTCCGGCGACCGTACGTCCCGACGTCACAGGGACCGGAACACAGAAGCCGGATGCCGGCATCGGCCGGAGGAGATGCAAGGGACACATCGCGGGAGCGAAGGACAAGGTAAGTGCTGCAGGGACCCCCTGAGCAACGCCGCATGGTAAGCCCGAGTGTAGCTCGGGCTTACCGCTCTTAGTATAGAAATTTTACCCCGAGCTACACTCGGGAATACCGCCAGGGAGGTTAAACTCCTGTCAAGTGTTTATTCCTGTCTGTGCCTCCTACTGGGGGCTTTGTTCCATTTGTGGCTATTGTCATAGGAACATAAAGCAAAATCCAAAATGTGAGTCACTGGAAGAAATCTTACAATGGGAGCACCTGTTCCAGGAACAGCTAAGGGTGGAAATCGTCTTCATTGTAGAAAGATTGCCTTTTCTGTTGTGTCTCTTGTAAAATTAATTGAAGGTAATCTCCCAAATGAGACACAAATGGCAAAAAGATGGGTTTTATCCTTCCCTACTCTGTTCAAAATTTTAAGAATTGCTTTGGGATTTTGGCTACACTGAGCAAAAATATGGAGCCCCACACAGATGTGCTGGTTTCTAAAAGTGACCGCGGAAGCAGGGAGAAGAATTCCTGCCCACTGTCACAGGAAGGAGGGATCGGAGGAAGATCGGGCAAAAACCGGAACAGGTTACACAGTCCACCCTCAATACAGGTTGAACATGTAAAGTGTTCAAAAGGTGAACTTAGCCTTTAAACATAGAGTGAATAAAGATGGTGAATTGATAACTAATGGGTCAGTTATTAATTTTTGTGACTGCGTTTTTGTTTTTTTTTTTGTTTAATATATATAAATTGGAAAATGTGGCATTGGTACAATCATGTAAACATAATACTACCACCACATACACGTAAAGGTTAGTTATAACAATCTCCTCAAAGAATGGCAGGTCAGATAACATCAGAGTACAATGAGTATATGAATCAATATCGGGCTCAAGAAGAAGATCTATAGAAGTAGGATTCAGAGGGTCAGGTCAAATGTCAACATGAGCTCCCAGCCAATTAGGCGTGAGACGTCATTACGTTTACCTTTGCTGAGGAGTAGGATAGTGGGTCTCCCACATAAAGCCACCTTTCCTGGTTTTAAAGTAAAGATAGAGGGGATCTAGAGAATTGACGAAATAGAGACAGAAAAGGAGAGGTACGGGAAGAGAAGAGGGTTGAGCATCCGAGGGAAAGGGTCCAGCCAGCTGCTTTTAGTTATCAATATTGCTGAACTAATTTCTCCGGAAAGGCAAGATTTCAGGAGAATCAGCAAAATCAATCTGTGTAAACTACAAGTCTTGAAATTTGGTGAAATTATCACTAGCAATTGCCAGCAGTTCATCCATTTGCATAATGGAGTTCAGTTCAGCAACCCATTCTCGAATAGTCGTCATTGTGGGGGATTTTCAGTGCTTTGCGATTAGGGCATGACCTGCCATAAGCAGGAATTGTATTAAATTCTTTTCAATCGCTTTAGTCCTACCAGGTCTCATGGAAAGGAGGGCCACCTCCGGAGGTTTTAGGACTGCTTTCACATTTGTATTTTGTTGTATTTGAACTTAATTTTGTCTGTGTTTCTGTCTGTTCCAGCTGTGTAAACCTGCACAACCAGCAACACATTCTGGTAATGTGTGCGGCTGCCTTTTACTTGATTGAAAACTACCCGTTGGATGTTGGGCCAGATTTTACTGCGGGCATCATACAGGTGAGTGTCTGTTACAACAGAGACACCAAGCTGAGAGTTGGCAGCAATCTTCTATGGGTGTAGTGGACAGGAATTAGTGTTCCTGAACCCACAACAGTAAAATCAGTCTGTATATGCAGTAAAGCATGCTTGTTATACTCACTGTGGAACCTAAGGGGTTAATCCTCTGCATTGTGTAAAAAGGATGTTTTAATCCTGTCTTCTATGTTCCTCCCCTTCTTACATTGTCTCCTAAATATCTCCTGAGAGAACAGAGGCTCGGAGGCAAGCTGCACATGTTGAGTTTGGTGTGCATTGCTAGAGTTTTGTTTTTTTTTGTTTTGCTTTTCTTGGGAAAGTGCATGTGATCAGCACAGGGGTCTGTGTTTTGGACATAGATTTTACTTTAACAAATTATGTCTGGAAAGCATTGTATGTTTGTGCTTGTACGTTCTTTTTTTTTTTTTTTTCTTTTTTATATAATATCTCTACTAATCATTTCATAGAGATGGGAATTTTATGTAATTGTTACCACTGCACGTTAAATTTAATGAGCGCTCTTGTTAAATTGGTCCAAGTTACATCTTCAGTTAATTAGTTGGGTCTTGGCCTTGGGATAGTTTGCTTATCATTACAGGCCTGCAATCTTAATTTTTTTTTTCTGTGATATGTAAATTAAAATGATATTCACATGATTAACTGCCAGAACCCAATATGCCTCCAACCTTACTGGCGATAAGATGCAATGGATTGTCTGATTGTCTCTGCATTGCATTGGCCTGAATTTATCCCAGCTCAGGGATACATAAGATTCCTCTTCCTTCCAAGTTATCTTACTTACCTTTTCCCCACTGCCAGTGGTTCCATGGTGCAGTGGTGAAGCCTATTACCTAGAGCAATTCAAAATATAAAGAACAGGGGTCCTCATAACTTTCTAAACAAAGGGCTAGTTTGCTGTCCCTAAAACTATAGGGGGGGGGGGCAGGCTATGGACAGTGGGAATATAAAAAAAAGAATGCATCAGAGCCTGGTTATCAGTAGTAGAAAAAAAATGAGCTAGCGTCTGTGGTTGTGGGGGGGAGGGTAAAATTGCTCAACTGTTGGTGTCAGGGGGAGAAATCATATGTATTGGCGGGGAGGTATAGTGCTGTTGGTGTCAGTGGAGAAATTCCGCCTCATGGTTGAAGAGGGTGGGAGGAACTGTGCCCATTGTTGGTGTCAGTGGGAGGAATTATGTCCTATCAACTTGTGCCCCATCTTTAGTGTGTGTGTGTAGAAAAAATGTTTCCATACAAACCATCCTTGAACAGTAACCTATGACACCTAACACTGCATTCATGTCTTCTCTTTCATCTTGTAATGCAGGTAAGAAAATGAAAGCAAAAATTGAATACCAAATGGCTCTTTTCAGATCCTTTTGATTGAAGGCGTACCATGACAAAGCTTCTTATGCATTATACTATATAAGAGTTGCAAGGCTTCCTTTTTTGGGATTTAGATGATAATACAGTGAATATTAAAAGAACATTGCTTTTTTAATATTGTATACATCCTAAATTATCTTTCTGATCTCCTCTATACGTATAAATGTATTTGGTGTTATTGCTGCTGCCAGAGTGGCTTGTCGTTTGAAAGTGTCTTTGTGTGTCTCTCCCAGATGTGTGGAGTGATGGTATCGGGGAGTGAGGAATCCACACCCTCCATGATATACCACTGTGTACTGCGAGGTCTGGAGCGCCTCCTGCTATCTGAGCAGCTTTCCAGGCTGGACGGTGAGGCATTGGTGAAGCTCAGTGTGGACAGAGTGAATATGCACAGCCCACACAGGGCCATGACTGCCTTAGGACTGATGCTGACATGCATGTACACAGGTAGGTGCCCTCTGACCTTATTGTGGTAAAGGGTACTGCTTATTTTTAAAGCAATATTAAACCCAAAAACAACATTTTTATGTATTGTAGCTTACCCACCTGGAATGTGGTGGCGGCATTTGTTTCATTTTTTTTTTTTTTTAGGCTTTTCTTACTTTATTTTCACCTGGTGATCTGGTCAGTAACACATTTCTTACCTAAGGGAGTGTCTGCTCCACTGGAAGAACAAAGGAGACAGCATTGCCAGTCTGTGGAGAGGGTAGTATAAGGGTTCTGTCACACAGGTGTCATCAGTTCAGTTACGTTTTTTGCTAATTAAAAATTGATGAATATTGATTTGCAGTTCAGTTCTGTTGAGTTCAGTTTACTTCTTTTTTTCAGTTGTTGAAGAAACGAATCATATGTGCCCAAAAACGGAAATAAATGGAACAGATGTAAATGGACAACATCCATTCACAGCTGTTCAAATCCATCTAATTGGAAAAGGATGCAGCCTTGCTCCATTTAAAAGAACAGACCTGAACATATGTAGGCAGATGTAAATGGGTAATTGTCAGTTTATATCCGCCCGCTCATAGACATACATTGTGGTTCAGTCTGGATCTATCTGAAAAACCCAGAGGGCACACCAACGTACATGAGAGGGCCCTTAGATGGACTGGCAGATTTAGATGGACTTGATTAACAAATGAAAGCATCTCCGGCTAACACTTGTGAAGCAGTTATAGTTTTAGATTTTCTTTTACTTTTTTTGGAAAAACATTTACATAACTGAATAAAAGCTGATCATTGTAAGCACCCCTGTCAGTGGTAAATGGATTGACTTAGCTCTCTAACTGACACTTTTTCTGAACAATTTGGTCTGTTAACCACTTGCCCTCCAGAGGATATGCCCCCTCCCCCTTTTTGCCTGACCAGGCCATTTTTTGCAACACGGCGCTGTGTTACTTTAACTGACAATTGTGCAGTCATGCAGTGTTGTACATAATGAAATTTATGTCCTTTTTTCCCACAAATAGAGCTTTCTTTTAGTGGTATTTGATCACCACTGCTTTTTTTTATTTTTTGCTCTATAAACAAAAAAAGACCAACAGTTTTGAAAAAAACAAAACAATATTTTTGACTTTTTGCTATAAAGCATATCCAGTAAAATAATTAATAAGAATTCTTAATAAAAATCAAATTTCATCATAAATTTAGGCCAAAATGTATTCTGCTATATGTCTTTGCTTAAAAAAAATCCCAGTACGTGTAAATTAATTGGTTTACGTGAAAGTTATAGCATTTACAAATGGCAGTATATATACTGGAATTTTTATTTATTTTTACTAGTAATGGCGGCGATCAACGACTTATTGCAGAACTGCGGCAGGCATGCTGACACTGGGTGGGAACTGACTAACTTCCAATGACATCCCCCATGACACTAATATAGTGATCAGTGCTAATAAAAAGCACTGTCACTGTACTAATGACACTGGGCAGGAAGGTGTTAACATCTGGGGCAATCAAAGGGTTACCAGTGTGCTGTTTTGTGTTTTTACATAGTGTGCTGTGTGTGTTTTACTATGTAGACAAGCTGCTTTGTATTGCTCTGCTGTGCAGAGCAATACAAAGCAGCCTGTTTGTGCTGACAGGGGAGAGATCTTTGTTTACATACTGAATTGGCAGCCAGAATCTGATGATTGACATGCCAAGGAGCCAATGGCAGTGTGGGTAGTGTCTTGGAAATTCGCTTGCAACGAATTTTTCCTTACCGTGAGTACTCGCAGTTGGATGCGCAGAAATCCCCCATAAAGCTGTGCGAATCTCGCTTACCACGACTGCAGCTTAGCCCTATGATTCCTGCGCCTCCAACTGGGTTAGCTCTTTTGAGATGTGAGGAAATGGAGCTCCCTATACCCAGGAATGATCACACGATACTCTCAGGTTGCTGTTGGAATTCACATAGAGCAAGTTTTCATTCTCAGCCTCTGGTTTTATTACAAACACACACACGCCCCCCACATGAGTCCGGTCAATCCCCTCCCACAGAACAATGCAATGGGGAGTGCCTATACACAGGATGTACATTCCGATTGGAGCATAGCCTTTACTTCTATCTATCACCGGTCCTCCCCCCATGAGCCCTCTGAGGTCAGCAGACTTACTGTCCTAGCTCCTAGTGGTATGTAAATTCTCTGTACAAGCATCCCTTAGATTAAACAGTGTCTGTATCTGAATGGGCCCGATACGATCTTTATTAAAACACATCCATCCAGATACAGTTTCAGGTTGGTAATGGCTTGTAAGATATACATGAGCCTACACGCGGAGTTCGCACTGCTTGGCGCCTTGCGGTACGGAGTCCATGTGGTACTATGCTGCTGATATGTGGATACAGGCCCGCGGCCTACCGCCGGCGGCATTCGCATCGAATGCTGTGGTGGTATACACGCCGGTCTATAAGCGCAGATCTGCCATCTCATCCATTACTGAGCTGAGTACTGTAATACATAAATTGTAAATGCGCATGGCCCAATTGCAGCCTTCAGAGCTTTAATTAAGCCACACGAGAGACATATGAATAACACTAATATATGACACATTTAAAGTTCAACCAACAATACAAAATTTCCATGACAGTAGGAAGCGCGCACACGCCCCCTACACAGAAATGCAAAATCACATGTGTGTGTGTGTGTGTGATTTTGCGCATCTCCCGCCCTGTATCAGTACCTCTGCTATAGGGCAGTCGAGAAGCGGTTAAAGGAAGTTGAAATATAACAGACTTACTGGCCAGGTCAACTGGGGAAAATAAAAAGGAAAAAAAAACTTAAAGGAAACTAATGCAGCTACTACATGTAAGAAAAAGTAGACCCAACAATGTGTCCAGTGACCGGACCATGATCACATCACACATGTACACAGGCCTGATTTTCAAAAGTGTCACATAAAGAAGCTGTATTTTGCTCACAATTGGATGTTTAGACATAGGTTCACCTCACCTTATTTCATACTATAGTAAATCAAGTATGTAAGCAACTTTTATGTTGAGCATTGCAAATGTATGCAATACGTGTAACTAGCAGTGAACCCAAATAATATTAGAGAAGGGAACACGTGTTGTATTTAAGCTTTTAGTATGGGGTATATTTATAGAGCAGTGAATGTGACATTCACCAAACATTCACTGCAGATGCATCTTCCTGGACCATGTGTTTTTTTTAAGTACTGTGATTGATTTACCTGCTTTGACTGTTAGGTGAATGTTACATTCGCTGCTTTATGAATATGTCCCCATGGGTCAGATAGTACAGTAAGCCGTGGTTGATCAGTGGCTGGATATGTGGACAAATCATTATGACAAGCGATGAGTTTTATGGGTGCATTAGAAGGTTTAGAGAATACTATGTGGTATGTGGAAAGGGGATAGGCTTGTGGGAATTCTTCAAGGCAAGAGTACGAGGAGGGTTCCAGAATTAACGAGGGGAACTTTGCTGAAACAACTTTGTAGGGTTGAAACAAACTGACATCACAACTTACCAATACATTTTACCAAACATTGTGTAAAGACGCAAAGGATTTGATCATGGTGTTTTTCTGTGTAGGTAAAGAGAAGATCAGTCCTGGTCGTACTACAGATCCAAGTCCTGCGGCCCCGGACAGCGAGTCTGTCATTGTTGCCATGGAGCGTGTATCTGTGCTTTTTGACAGGTAAAGGCTTACTGTGGACTTGTCCAAGAGAAAAAACATCTGTTTGCTGTACAACTGTCCTAGGTGGGTTAGTCCGTAGTCATCCTGCTTGTGAATTACAGCTGGTAACTGAAATAGATGAAGATCTGAGAGTCCTCTGACCTAATTTTGACATTGTGTCAGAGGTTCGGCATCATTGCCTGCTTACAACAGGACACACATGCAGTAAAGACAATTGCTATGCTTGTTTTTTTTGTTTTGTTTTTTTAAACAGAAAAACACTTTTATTTCTTTTTACAGAAGTTCAATATTGTAGCATTAGTATATGACAGAAGTACGTTTCTCCATTGCATATCTCTGTGCCACTACTAGGTACCACATTTGATTAGTCCAGGCAGTTTGGTGAGTGAGCTTTAATTATATTCCCAATTGATGCCCCTGATCCCACTGACATGTCATATGTTGTCTAAGGGGCTGGCTGGAAGAAGAGCAGATAGTTCTTATCTTCCAATTTCATATCTCTACTTTCTATAGGGTGCACTTGTAGAACTCACAAACAGAGGTTTTTATTCTTAAAGGATAAGTTCACTTTTTAAGAAAAAACAATAAATGTAAATATTTTTGCAGAAAAAAATAAAAAGTGAATTTATTATTTTTTCATGGAGGAGCCTGGAAAGCATCGCACGCATGATCAGTGGACCAAGGGTGCAATCTCGGGCTACTGCAGACAAACCCTGTAGCTTTCAGGCTGTCAGTTTCAAAGCTGCAGGGCTTGTGAATGAACTACGGGAGCGCTCATTGGCACCCTTGCAGTTCATTTTGAACTTCAAGGTGTAAGCCGCAATGGCTGATAGAGTTTTAGTTCATTCATTCATAGGAATCTGTGAATGAATGATGTGGCCTTGTGGGCACAGCCCCACACGGCTGCCCTGTTTTTTAATTGTGACAGTGGGTATGGGGAGAAGATCCCTCATCAACTGTCACACTGAGAGTGGCATCAGGGGGTGAGGCTGGTAGAATATGTAATGTAATCTTAAAAGAGAAGTTCACCTTTTAGAACATAACTGTACATTTGAACTAAATGTTTAAGCTGCTTGTGTGGGATGATCTTGAAAGGCCAAAGTTTAATGAAAAAACTTCAGGAACATGTCAAAAAGGACCCTCTCTTTTAGATCGTGGGTGTTTTTTCAGTATTCAATAATTTTTTTAGCTACTGGATCTGCAGTATTGTTGGCACATTACTTAATATATTCAGATACAGGGGTTAGACAAAAATATGGAAACACTACAGGATTTACAGATGTGAAAATGACTACATTTTTAGTGTTGAGAGTAAAAGTAATGCAACATCCTTTTGCTTCTGCAGTGTGATGAGACACCCAGCTAACAGGTGGGAAGCCTCACTTTCATCATCCACTGCGTGCGCTGCTAGTAATACAGAGTCCTGCCAGAGCTTACTGAGCTTCAAACAGGGCAAATTGTTGGTTCCACTTAGCTGGTGCCTCTGAAGTTGACAATTTATTTGCCGTGTCGCAAGGTACAGTATCAAAGGTTATGACAACATATACATTTGCCAGGAAAAAATCATTTGATAAGCAGAAGTGTGATCAACATGATCAGCTGACTGATAGAGACAAAAGGACATTGCGCAGGATAAGCAATGAGCTCTGCAAAAGTGACTGCAGAGCTCAGCCCCCGTCCCCCTTATTCCAGGTCACAATCCTGTGCAATGTCCTTTTTGTCTCTTTCGGTCAGTTGACCATGTCAACTTGATTATGCTTATCAGACAAAGTTTTCCCAGAAACTGTGCATGGCGTCAATTGGCAGCTTCAATCACAGATGCACCAGCTAAGCGACACCAACATTTTGCCCTATTTGAAAGCTGTAAGCTCTGACATGACTCTGTATTACTAGTAGTGCATGCAGTGAATGATGAAAGTGAGGCTTCCCATCTGTTAGCTGGGTGTCATTTCTCCTTTCAACATGAAACATGTCATTACTTTCACACCAGTAATTCATGTAGTGTTTCCATTTGTTTTTGTCTAACTCCTGTATATAGCTCAGTAAATGAAGGCATACCATTTTATAAGTGAATTCATTTATATATACAGTGAAGGAAATAAGTATTTGATCCCCTGCTGATTTTGAATGTTTGCCCACTCACAAAGAAAATAAGTCTAAAAATCGAATGGTAGGTGTACTGTAACACTGAGAGACAGCATAGCAACAAAAAATTCAAAAGAAATGCATGTCAAACAAATGATGCACTGATTTGCATGTTCATGAGGGAAATATGTATTTGATCCCCTTCACAAAACATGACTTAGTACTTGGTGGCAAATCCCTTGTTGGCAGTCAGAGGTCAGACGTTTCCTGTAGTTGGCCACCAGGTTTGCACACATCTCAGGAGTGATTTTGGCCCACTCCTCTTGGCAGATCCTCTCCAAGTCGTTAAGGTTTGGTGGCTGATGTTTGGCAACTCGAACTTACAACTCCCTCCACAGATTTTCAATCAGATTAAGGTCTGGAGACTGGCTAGGCCACTCCAGGACCTTAATGTGCTTCTTCTTCAGCCACTCCTTTGATGCCTTGGCCGTGTGTTTTGGGTCATTATCATGCTGGAACACCCATTCATGACCCATTTTCAATGCCCTGGCTGAGGGAAGAAGGTTCTCACCCAAGATTTGATGGTACATTGCCCCGTCCATCGTCCCTTTGATGTGGTGCAGGTGTCCTGTCACATTAGCAGAAAAACATCCCCAAAGCAGAATGTTTCCACCACCATGTTTGAGAGTTGGGATGGTGTTCTTGGGGTCATAGGCAGCATTTCTCCTCCAAACACGGCGAGTTGAGTTGATGCCAGAGAGCTCGATTTTGGTCTCATCTGACCACAACACATTCAACCAGTCCTTCTCTGCATCATTCAGATGTTCAGTGGCAAACTTCAGACGGGCCTGGACATGTGCTTTCTTGAGAAGAGGGACCTTGCGGGCACTGCAGGATTTCAGTTCTTGTCGGTATAGTGTGTTACCAAATGTTTTCTTGGTGACTGTGGTCCCAGCTGCCTGGAGATCATTGACAAGATCGTCACGTGTAGTTCTGGGATGATTCCTCACTGTTCTCATGATCATTGACACTCCACGAGGTGAGATCTTGCATGGTGCACCAGACCTAGGGAGACTGACAGTTGTTTTGTATTTCTTCCATTTGCGAATGATTGCACTAACTGTTGTCACCTTCTCACCAAGCTGCTTGGTGATGGTTGGTAGCCCAGTCCAGCCTTGTGTAGGTCTACAATCTTGTCCCTGACATCCTTGGACAGCTCTTTGGTCTTTGCCATGGTGGAGAGTTTGGAACCTGATTGTTTGATTGCTCTGTGGACAGGTGTCTTTTATACAGGTAACAAAATGAGATTAGCAGCACTCCCTTTAAGAGACTGCTTCCAATCTCAGCTTGTTACCTGTATGAAAGACACCTGGTAGCCAGAAATCCTGCTGAATGATAGGGGATCAAATACCGTATTTTTCGCTCCATAAGACGCACTTTTTTCCTCCCAAAAAAGGGGGGAAAATGTCAGTGCGTCTTATGGAGCGAATATAAAGCGCCCGGTCCAGTATTTTTGCGGCCACCATGTCAGAATACCGGGCCGGCCGCTCAGCCGTTGTCTCCTGCAAGGCCTTACCTGTTCCTCGCTCCAGCGCTGCACAGTCTTCCCGCGCTGGCTTCTGTGACAGCCGGCTGCCCACTGCGCATGTGCTGCGCTTTGTGAATGATCCGGTGTCTTCTGGGACACATGAAAGGTCCCAGAAGGCGCCGGGCCATTCACAAAGCGCAGCGCTTCTCGCACATGCGCAGTGGGCACCCGGCTGTCACAGAAGCCGGCCCGGGAAGAAGAGGGAAGGACAACTCCGCGGAAGTGGGAGCGGGTACCTGTCAAATTCAGGTACCCGCTCCCCCTCCCTCCCCAAAGGTCAGCAGTCTCTGGTCATTCCCTTCACTGTCTGCAGTCTCTGGTCATTCCCTGCACTGTCTGCAGTCTCTGGTCATTCCCTGCACTGTCTGCAGTCTCTGGTCATTCCCTGCACTGTCTGCAGTCTCTGGTCATTCCCTGCACTGTCTGCAGTCTCTGGTCATTCCCTGCACTGTCTGCAGTCTCTGGTCATTCCCTGCACTGTCTGCAGTCTCTGGTCATTCCCTGCACTGTCTGCAGTCTCTGGTCATTCCCTGCACTGTCTGCAGTCTCTGGTCATTCCCTGCACTGTCTGCAGTCTCTGGTCATTCCCTGCACTGTCTGCAGTCTCTGGTCATTCCCTTCACTGTCTGCAGTCTCTGGTCATTCCCTTCACTGTCTGCAGTCTCTGGTCATTCCCTGCACTGTCTGCAGTCTCTGGTCATTCCCTGCACTGTCTGCAGTCTCTGGTCATTCCCTGCACTGTCTGCAGTCTCTGGTCATTCCCTGCACTGTCTGCAGTCTCTGGTCATTCCCTGCACTGTCTGCAGTCTCTGGTCATTCCCTGCACTGTCTGCAGTCTCTGGTCATTCCCTGCACTGTCTGCAGTCTCTGGTCGTCTCCTGCACTGTGTCCGCAGTCTCTGGTCGTCTCCTGCACTGTGTCCGCAGTCTCTGGTCGTCTCCTGCACTGTGTCCGCAGTCTCTGGTCGTCTCCTGCACTGTGTCCGCAGTCTCTGGTCGTCTCCTGCACTGTGTCCGCAGTCTCTGGTCGTCTCCTGCACTGTGTCCGCAGTCTCTGGTCGTCTCCTGCACTGTGTCCGCAGTCTCTGGTCGTCTCCTGCACTGTGTCCGCAGTCTCTGGTCGTCTCCTGCACTGTGTCCGCAGTCTCTGGTCGTCTCCTGCACTGTGTCCGCAGTCTCTGGTCGTCTCCTGCACTGTGTCCGCAGTCTCTGGTCGTCTCCTGCACTGTGTCCGCAGTCTCTGGTCGTCTCCTGCACTGTGTCCGCAGTCTCTGGTCGTCTCCTGCACTGTGTCCGCAGTCTCTGGTCGTCTCCTGCACTGTGTCCGCAGTCTCTGGTCGTCTCCTGCACTGTGTCCGCAGTCTCTGGTCGTCTCCTGCACTGTGTCCGCAGTCTCTGGTCGTCTCCTGCACTGTGTCCGCAGTCTCTGGTCGTCTCCTGCACTGTGTCCGCAGTCTCTGGTCGTCTCCTGCACTGTGTCCGCAGTCTCTGGTCGTCTCCTGCACTGTGTCCGCAGTCTCTGGTCGTCTCCTGCACTGTGTCCGCAGTCTCTGGTCGTCTCCTGCACTGTGTCCGCAGTCTCTGGTCGTCTCCTGCACTGTGTCCGCAGTCTCTGGTCGTCTCCTGCACTGTGTCCGCAGTCTCTGGTCGTCTCCTGCACTGTGTCCGCAGTCTCTGGTCGTCTCCTGCACTGTGTCCGCAGTCTCTGGTCGTCTCCTGCACTGTGTCCGCAGTCTCTGGTCGTCTCCTGCACTGTGTCCGCAGTCTCTGGTCATCTCCTGCACTGTGTCCGCAGTCTCTGGTCATCTCCTGCACTGTGTCCGCAGTCTCTGGTCATCTCCTGCACTGTGTCCGCAGTCTCTGGTCATCCCCTGCACTGTGTCTGCAGTCCATTGGTTCAGAATTTTTTTTTTTCTTGTTTTTCACCTCTAAAACCTAGGTGCGTCTTATGGAGCGAAAAATACGGTACTTATTTCCCTCATGAACATGGAAGTCAGTGTATAATTTGTTAGACATGCATTTCTTTTGAATTTTTTTGTTGCTATTCTGTCTCTGTGTTACAATACACCTACCATTCGATTTTAAGACTGATAATTTTTTTTGTGAGTGGGCAAACATTCAAAATCAGCAGGGGATCAAATACTTATTTCCTTCACTGTATATTTTAAGCGAACACTGTTTTTGTGCCTGTGTTTCAGATCTGTAGTACCTGTTTTGTACATGAAGGCTATAGAGCTCAACCAATTGCACACCACATGTATGTTTATAAACGGTTGCATTTTTGCACTAGCTGATTCACATATTGCATCCTTCTGCTGGACAGAATCCGGAAGGGATTTCCCTTCGAGGCAAGGGTGGTGGCCAGGATTCTTCCACAGTTCTTAGATGACTTTTTCCCTCCTCAAGATGTAATGAATAAAGTAATTGGAGAGTTTTTATCCAATCAGCAACCCTACCCACAATTCATGGCAGCTGTTGTTTACAAGGTGAGTGTTTACTGTGTCTTATTTTGAAATATTGCTTTTTTCATTGGTTTCTGTGTCTTCCTGTCTTGTTACCCTCCTATAACCTATTAAAGGCAGTTAAAAAGAAACCTGCAATGGTTCCATACCATTTCTCTGATGACACATTGGCACCATGGGAATGCACCCCATCTGCAAGCATTGATTGATCAGTTTTAGCTTCATGTCTAATCCATAGACTTGTACCAGTATATCTCTACTGTTTTTATAACCTTTATTTACTTTGTTTTGTGGTTTTACTGGTCATTCTATAACTTACAACTCCTTGAAATCTGGAAGTGGTTTGCAAATGTTGCAGATCATAATGCTAGCATGTAAAGCACTATACCAGCATGTTCATAAAGCCTTATAGTTTTTAGAACAATGGTTGTCAAGCTTGCTTTTCCACTGCACTGTATCCGCTTTAAAGTGGACAGATGAATACAATTCACATGAAAACTGATAGTCGCTTTAATAAAAGTACATTTCTGCTCTCCTTTCTGTCACCTATAGCCTACGCTTGCATATCTTTTATGGTGTTTCACATTATTTCAAACTGCAGACAGTCTGCTGCTTACCGTGAGATGGGCCCAGTGTGGTGGACTGGCATTGGGATAAGAAAATTGGCACAACATTGTGCTGATTAGTAAGCAAAGCTGCTAAATGTAAAAGATATATATTGACAAACAACATATAAATCAGATTTTTAAAACATTAAGAGATCCAGTTTTCTTTCTATTAATTTCAACACGAATCTTCCTAAACATTTATATGTGCATTTAATGTATTTTTTGAACATTATTGTCCTATAAAAACTTCACTTGCATAGACATCCAAAAGCCTTGAAATTGTTACTGGGCACCTCCATCTTGGATATGATGTCAGCAGCTGCAGCAGACTCTGTCAGAGCTTTCATTCAAGCAACACGCTATAGTATTCCCATTCACTTCTACCCTGACTGCTGCAAAAAGGTTATGTAAGAGGAGTAAAGGGTGGAGGAACTGGGTCAACACAAGCAATAATTCTACTACTTTAAGAGGAGAAGACTATAGCGTGCAAGTAGGGATGGGGCTGTGCAAGAAAAAACTCTTCCTTGAGTGGTCAAATTACCTAGCAAATCCAGAGGCATGCTGCAAATGAATAAAAAATCTTTATGAAATAGAAAATGCTGCAAGTAATAATTTAAAATAGGTGATTTTTTTTTGGCTTTGTTTGCATTTTATGAAGTTGGTGACAGGGTCTCTTTAATAACAATTAGGATTTACATTAAGCTGACCTCTTTTACATGTACAGTACATTCCTAAAGTATTCAGACCCCTTTCTCTTTTTTAAATTGTGGTATGTTGCAGCCTACATACCACAATGTTGTTTAAATTCATTTTTTTTCTCCTTAATCTACACTCAGTACCCCATAATGACAAAGTAGACAAACAAGAAATAGAATTTTAGAAATGTTTGCAAATTTGTGAAAAACTGAAATATCACATTGGCATAAGTATTCAGACCCTTTCCAGCAACACTTGAAATTTTAGCTCAGGTGATTCCCATTTCTCTTGATTATTGCTGAGACATTTCTACACCTTAACTAGAGTCCACTTGTGCTAAATTAAATTGATTGGACATGATTTGGAAAGGCACAAACTTCTCTATAAAAGGATTAACAGCTGACAATACATACTGTATCAGAGCAAAAGCCGTGAGGTCAAAAGAACTGCCTGCAGAGCTCAGAGAGAGAATTATTGCAAGGCACAGATCTGGGGAAAGCTACAAAAATTTTTTTGCTGCATTAAAGGTTCCCAAGAGCACAGTGGCCTCCATAGTTCTCAAGTGGAAGACGTTTGTCCCAACAAGGACTCTTCCAAGAGCTGGTCTCCCGGCCAAACTGAACAATCGGGGGAGAAGGGCCTTAGTAAGAGAGGTGACCCAGAACCTGATGGTCACTCTGATTGAACTCCAAAGATCCTGTGTGGAGATGGGACAAAGTTCAAGAAGGACAACCATTATTTCAGCCCTCCACCAATCTGGTCTTTATGGCAGAGTGGCTAGAGAGAAGCCTGTTCTCAGTGTAAAACACATGAAAGCCTGCTTGGAGTTTGCAAAAAAAAACATTTGAAGGACACTCAGACTGTGAGAAACAAAATTCTCTGGTCTAATGAAGCCAAGATTGAACTCTTTGGTTTTAATTCTAAACGTTATGTCTGGAGGAAACCAGGCATCCCTCATCACCTGCTCAATACCAATCCCAACAGTGAAGCATGGTGCTGTTAGCATCATGCTCCAGGGGTGTTTTTCAGCAGCAGGGACTGGTCAGGGTTGAGAGAAAGCTGAATGGAGCAAAGTACAGACTTCTCAATCAAAACCTGTTCCACAGCGCTCAGGACCTCAACTGGGCCGATGGTTCACCTTCCAACATGACAACGATCCTAAGCCAAGATAACACAGGACTTTCTTATGGGCAACTCTGTGATTGTCCTAGAGTGGCCCAGCCAGAGCACTGACTTGAATCCTACTGAACATCTCTGGAGAGACTTGAAAATGGCTGTCCACCGACGATCCCCATCCAACTGACTGAACTTCAGAGGATTTGCAAAGCAGAATGGCCAAAAAAAACCCAATCCAGGTGTGCAAAGCTTGTCATGTCATACCCTAAAAGACTCAAGGCCATAATTGTTGCCATAGGTGCTTCAACAAAGTACTGAGTAAAAGGTCTGGATACTAAGTGTATATTTAATTTTATTCTTTTTAATAAATTCACAGAAATTTCTAAAATTCTGTTTTTACTTTCATTATGTGGTACTGAGTGTAGATTAGTGAGAAAAAAAAAAACAAATTTAAACAACTATAGTATCGGGCTGCTAAAAAATTGAAAAAAGGGAAGGGGGTCTGGGTACTTTATGAATGAACTGTATATTAAAAAACAAAAATACTTTAGTTCTTTTGTAAGAACTAGACCTTATTGTATACTATGCTACTAATATAGTTTCTTTATCATTCTTCAGAAGTATATATTTAAGCAGAAATACCGGCAGAGCCTCAGAATTGGCTGTTGTCTGCTTATCTGACCCTGTTGATTCCTGCGGTGTGAGCTCCAAGGTGTCGGAAATCGGAGTTTAGTTGGGTTCTCTCAGCAGAAGGGCCCGCTGTGTGTGAGATTGCCAGGCCAAGCATTTCTGAATACGTTAACACCATAATATCCGCTTTTCTTAGTAATGGGGTTAAGCAGCCTTTAGGGGTCCTTCCATAAATGCACATGCTATAAGAGAAGCATATTGATCTCCACAGGCAACTAGAACAATGTAATTGTTACCCACTTACCCACAGCTTATCAACCATGGGCCAATACACATGTCCCATTGATTTGCTGCACTGTAAAGGAAAGCTGGATTTACACCTGAGTTCCTTCCTATGTGCGCTGAGGGAGAAAGGTCTGACTGTTTAATAGACAATATACAGATGATTGTGGTTCATGCAAGAATGTGCCAGTAAATGTGCAGACTTCATTTTATTATTATTATACAGGATTTATATAGCGCCTACAGTTTGCTCAGCACTTTACAATATACCGGGAGATAATACAGCAACAATACAGTTCAAGACAAGAGGGATAAGAGGGCCCTGCTCCTTGGAGCTTACAATCTAATAGGGAACACCTTGTATCACTAAAAAGATCACCAACAGCAGAAAGGAGGACCTAGTTTCAATATTTAGAGCTTTAGTTAATAAAGGGATCACCAGCAGGGGAAATATGGTCCTGATTCTTCTATATAGATCTTTAGTAGTTATCATTAGAGGGATCACCAGCAGGAAAAAGAAGGTCCTGATTCCTCTTTATGAATCTTTAGTTATCACTAGAGGAATCACCAGCAGGAGGAAGAAGGTCCTGATTCTTCTATAGAGATCTTTAGTTGTCAGTAGAGGGATCACCAGCAGGAGGAAGAAGGTCCTGATTCTTCTATAGAGATCTTTAGTTGTCAGTAGAGGAATCACCAGCAGGAGGAAGAAGGTCCTGATTCTTCTATAGAGATCTTTAGTTGTCAGTAGAGGAATCACCAGCAGGAGGAAGAAGGTCCTGATTCTTCTATAGAGATCTTTAGTTGTCAGTAGAGGGATCACCAGCAGGAGGAAAGAGGTCCTGATCATATAGAGAAAGGGTATTGAATTAAAATTCACAGAGGTCCAGTCAGTAAAAACTTTCTTTCAGCAGGATATCCAAGTCCATGTTTGTGTGACGACTCAGATCCTTCACATTGAATTCCCCCACATCAACTCTTCTTCGGACATCAGTGTCCAGTCCCCCTTTCACATCTTTTTCTCTGCTGCACATCACAGATTCCTTTTGTCTTAGTTACGACCCCCCCCCCCCCCCACGTCAATTCACTTATGTCCCCCTTCCCTCCCATCCCCAACTTTTTATAGCAGTGTCCTCAGCCACCCTTCAGAGCGCTGTCCTAGCAGTGTCCTCACCCAACAACACACCCCCCCCCCCCCATTCCTTCCTCTCCAGAGCACTGATCTCAACCCCCCTTTCCCTTTCACAGCAGCATTTTCAGCCTCATTCACTTATCACCGTCCTACCTTACACAGGGCAGGTCTGGACAGGGGGGGCGTTACGGCCCAACTTTTCTATAGTTAACAGACTGGTGATTGGTTGCTACCACACAGCATCCTAGCAACCAATCACCCTCTTGCAGCTCTTGCCCTCCATCTGCCACCTCTCCCATTCTATGCCCTGCTGCAAGCATGAGAGTGCAGTGCCTGGAGGAAATAAACAGATCTACAAGGGACCAGGCTCCTTAGTGTCGTGACCACAACGGACCAGATGGGACTGGTACTCGGTCTGTATCCGGTCCACCTTTTAGCGATGCCTGACATAGAGCTTTATTTACACCCCATTTAGAATACTTTGTTCTAATGTTTCTTGCAGTAGTCCAACAAATAGAATTTGTGACAGATTCCTGTACATGGTGGTAAGGTGTATATGAATCTATCGCAACTAACAGAACTGTTGCAAGCATCACTCCTTTGAAATGTTGGAATTTTACAGGCCGAGAAGCTATATGGAGAAATTGGAAGAGTAATAAAAACGTATCAAATATCCGTTCCAGAGAAACGTAAAGACAAAGTTTATTGTATAATGATCTCAAATATGAGAAACAATAATTACACACGTGAGACAGTCAACAATTTTCTACAGTATGGAAGAAGAAGTCTTAGTCTTCTCCACTGTTCTTATCCCTGATACGGTGGTTTTTGTGTATGAATTTGTTGCAACAATAGCTCCATACAGTAAAAGATTTGAAATGAGAACTGCTTGTCACATGCTTTGCTGCTAGCAGTGCAAAGTTAGTATACAAATAAAAAAGTGAGCGCCTAGAGGAAAAAGTGAAAATAAAATGAGCGTCTTATGCACAAAGATGGGTAACCAACCATAAATAGACATATATATAAAGATGGATAAGTGCAGCGCTATATAAGATTAGGAAATCTATCCTCATATAAATCACAAAATGCACAATTATTCCGATAAAACGCACAGTTATTCAGATAAACGCATAAAGTTCCCAATAAGTGACTGTAGTGAATCCTGATCTGTCAATGATAAGGTGTGAATGGTGGTGTAAGTAATGCGCACTTACCGAATGCGCATATCAAATGCGCCTTATGTAAATGAATCTTGGTCCATCTGATGAAGCCTGGGGATGAGTGGTCTACTCTCCAAGAGATGGATCATCAAGTGTAGGCACCGCAATCCGGGTATCCAGATATCCCTTGTTCCTTATGGGGTTACTCCTATATCACCGCAAATCTCCTTAAGGGGTTGTGGCCCGTCCTGTGATGGTGGGTCTGTAGGTTTAAAATACTCCCCCAAACGGTGAGAACAGGAATACTCCCATAGTGTAGTAGGTGATAATGACTTTTATTAAGGATGCATCAATAAACACACAATGGTGTAGATAATAACAGATAGCAGTATGACTGACCATCAGGAGTTTTAAGGTGGCCGCCGGAGCTCCACGGTTGCTCCGGCGGCGTGACGTCACGGCGTGGTGTGGCTCCTCCTGACGCGTATCGTGTGCAAACACGTCCTCAGAGGGGGGTCGCCAATCCTTGGATCCTTGGCGTTTATCGGAATAATTGTGCATTTTGTGATTTATATGAGGATATATTTCCTAATCTTATATAGCGCTGCACTTATCCATCTTTATATATAGTGTAAAGTCAGTGTTTTCATGAATTTGATGATCCCAACAACATACATGTGGTGCTTATTGAATCGCCTACAAATGTTTTATATCCACCATTCACCAACATAATCAAGGATAAGAGGTCCTGCATAATTTCTGAACCAATCTTAGTTGGAACTCACACAGGAGTGAGGACTGTCTCCCTGCGTCATGTGACAACTCTGCTACCTGAACAGCCAATGAGAGTCACATGTTCCCCTATACCTACTGGTTATTTACTTTCACCCATGGTGGCAGGGAAGTGAGGAGTATGTGAGTATAAGCTGTTGGGTGCAGATGCCAGGAAAGTGAGTCTGTTGTTTTTTTCCAGCATGGGTAAAGCACAGGTTCAGTTGAAAGGCAAGTTAAGCCTTGCTGATCTTTCCCCTGGTGGTGTCTTTGGTGCTCGAATGGCACTACCATGTTAAGACTTTGGTTTCATTGTTGATCTCTATGTTGCAGGTGTTTCAGACGCTACATGCCACTGGTCAGTCCTCCATGGTGCGTGACTGGGTGATGCTCTCCCTCTCCAACTTCACACAGAGAACTCCGGTGGCCATGGCAATGTGGAGCCTCTCCTGCTTTTTTGTCAGTGCATCTACCAGCAAGTGGATTTCTGCAATGTATCCTTTGGGATCTCTTTATAATCAGGCTAAGTGAACAATAGAGCTCCTGGGGGGAGATGGGGATAAGTACTTTGTAATGAATGGAGCTATTCATATCCATTTTCCCCGGGGGGCATTTTAGTTTCTACATAATCAGAAACTCATAATCTGGGTATGTGAAAGTCAGACCTCACAAAACACTTGTACTGTATAACTCGGAGACGTTTGGAGATTGTAGGAGTAGGAGGAACCTTTTACAGATTCTCAGCCCTTTATGCTCAGTCAGATCCATTTTTTTTTTATATATGTACATTTTCATTATTCATGATTTAGTTCTCTCTAGTGCTAGACTGCTTTACATTTGTTATTTCCACTGATTTTTCTGGTAAATGGTTTGCATCTGAAAAATGTATAATTGACATTTGTATATCTTTTTGTTTAGAATATCTGTTTGCCTAGGTTCACACCTCTGCATTTTGTGCGGGTGCGTTTGCACAGGCACAGCAGCCCACTCGAATGTACCTGCAGGATACGTGGGGCAAAAATCCCTGACCCTTTTTCCAAAATTAACCCACAGAGCAGCTGCATGGAATCGTATAGTGCTGCTGCACCGTGAGGTTTCTCAGGCCAAAAAATTTTGCTGCTTTTTCAGATGCATGGGATGCCATTTTTCTTCATGACACCCCCACACGTATGCTATAAACAGGGGTGTGGAAATTCTTGAAAAACTACTTGCCCAGGGACAAAATCGGGGTCCAAATCTACTTGTCCCTCATGACAATCTACTTGTCCTAATAAAAATACATTTTAACCAAAATTATATTTAAATCAGCTTTAAGTAATGTCTGGGGCTTTTAAAAACAAAAGCGTCTTTATGACGACTTAAACGTTTAATATTTTTAAACATTGCATTGTTAATCCCCTCCCTGCTGGTCTTCAGCACCACACCCAGGGACTAGCAGGGAGGAGAGAGACCTTGCAGTGTAATGAACACTGATTGGCTGCTCCTCAGGAAAGGGGAGTGTCGGGCTTATCCTTTATCCCTTTCGCTGCCAGAGCTGTGATTGCACTTTTTGCACACTTTTAAAAGATCATTTAAGGCCTGAAGATTGCACAAAACCCCCAAACATTATATATTTTCTGAAATCAGAGACCTTCAAGAATTCACAAAGCTTAGTAAATAAGGTGAAGGCATGAATTCTTTAACCAACCAATCATGTCCAAGCAAATAGCCTGTTTTAATTTCCTTATTAATATTTATTTTTACACGTATTTATATATAGTGCTTCACACAGCAATTTACTTATTGTACATTCCAATCAGTCCCTGCCCCCCAGGAGCTTACAATCTAAGGTCGCTTCCTCTCTTGCGTACTTATACATACTAGAGACCATTTATTTACCTACATGTCTTTGGGTTGTGGAAGCAAACCAGATTAGCTGGAGAAAACCTATCAAGCACAGAGAGACAACTCCATGCAGATAGTGTCCTGGTTCAAGGACCCTCGTGCTGCAAGGCAGGTGTGCGCAGTGGGTAGTTGAAGTGAACACATTAAAGTACAACTTAAGCCAAAGCCTTTTTTTTTCTTTTGGAAATGGAGTAGATATGGATTAGGACACCTATTAGTTTTTATTGCTGTCTGTGCCCCCATTAGGGAGACTCACCCCTACCCCTCCCACATTTTGGAGTTGTTCCCAGAAAAGTAATAGATGGCAAATCATCCAATAGGGGCACTAAATTTGGGGGCCCCAAGGGATTCCCTTAATTTGCAACAATTTTTCCTCGCTTCCTGTTTTGGCTAAGGGACAGGAAGTGAAGGTAAATCTCCCCAATGGGACACAGATGGCAAAAACTAACAGAAGTGATCACCCTCCCTTACTCCTATCCAAAATGAAAAAAAGTTTTACCTATAGATATGCTTACCTTTGCTTTGCTAAGCCTGTTGCTTTAGTAAATGAATGCTGCACTTACAGTATATATACACCTACAGTTAGTTCCATATATATTTGGACACAGGCACAATTTTAGTTTTGTTTTTTTTTCAGGTATTTACCAAAACGTATTCAAGCTATAGTTAGTTATATCATGGATATGGGCTGAAAGTGCACACTCTCAGGTTTAATTTGAGGGTATGTACATCCAAATTGAAGGAAGTGTTTAGGAATTACTGCTCTTAAGAGTAGCCATCCCCCCTTTTTCAAGGGACCAAAACTAATTGGACAATTGAATCAAAAGCTATTTCATGGCCAGGTGTGGGCTACTCCTTTGTTATTTCTTCATCAAATAAGCATGTAAAACGTCTGGAGTTGATTCTAAGTGTGGTATTTGCATTTGGAATCTATTGCTGTGAACCTACATCATGCGTTCAAAGGAGCTGTCCATGCAAGTGAAACAGGCCATTGTAAGGCTTCAAAAATGAAACAAATCCATCAGAGAGACAGCAGCAAAATTAGGATTGGCTAAATCAGTGTTTCTCAACTCCAGTCCTCATGGACCCCCAACAGGTCATGTTTTCAGGATTTCTCTCAGATGAAACAGCTGTGGTAATTACTAAGGCAGTGAAACTGATCAAATCGCCTGTGCAAAATAATGGAAATCCTGAAAACATGACCTGTTGGGGGTCCATGAGGACTGGAGTTGAGAAACACTGGGCTAAATCAACAATTTGGTACATTCTGAGGAAAGAAGAACGCACTGGTGAGCTCAGCAAAATAAAAAGGCATGGACGTCCACGGAAGACAACAGTGGTGGATGATTGCAGGATCCTCTCTATGGTAAAGAAAAACCCATTCACAACATCCAGACAAGTGAAGGACACTCTCCAGGAGGTGGGTGTATCATTGTCAAAGTCTACAAGCAAGAGAAGATTTCACGAGAGCAAATACAGAGGGTTCACCACAAGGTGCAAACCATTCATAAGCCTGAAGAATAGAAAAGCCAGATTAGACTTTGCCAAAAAAAAAAAAAAAAAAGCCAGACCAGTTCTGGAAAAGCATTCTTTGGACGGATGAAACTAAGATTAATCTGTACCAGAATGACAGGAAGAAAAAAGTGTGGGGAAGGCTTGGAACAGCTCGTGATCCAAAGCACAATGTCATCTGTAAAACATGGTGGAGGCAGTGTGGTGGCATGGGCATGCATGGCTTCCAGTGGCACTGGGTCATTGGTTGTTTATTGATGATGTGACAGAAGCAGCCGGATGAATTCTGCAGTGTTTACAGATATACTGTCAGCCCAGATTCAGCCAAATGCCGCAAAGTTAATTGGATGGTGCTTCACAGTACAGATGGACAATGATCCAAAACACACTGCAAAAGCAACCCAGAAGCTTTTGAAGGAGAAGTAGAATATTCTGCAATGGCCGCGTCAATAACCTGATCTCAACCCAATTGAGCATGCATTTCACTTGCTGAAGGCAAAACTAAAAGCAGAAAGACCCACAAACAAAGAACAACTGAAGACAGCTGCAGTTAGAGCCTGGCAAAGCATCAGAAAAGAGGAAACCCAGTCTTTGGTAATGTCCATGGGTTCCAGACTTCAGCCAGTCATTGCCAGTAATGAATTCTCAACAAAATATTAAAAATTATAATTTTATTTATGATTATATACATTTGTCCAATTACATTTGAGCTCCTGAAAATGGAGGGACTGTGTATAAAAATGGTTGCTGTTCCTAAAATGTGTACTTGATATATATGTTCAACCCCTTGAATTAAAGCTGAAAGTTTGCACTTCAAATTCATTTGGATTGTTTTGTTTTAATTTATTTGTGGCATACAGAGCCAAAAGTATGAAAATTGTGCCTGTGTCCAAATATATATGGACCTAACTGTATATCCATGTTTTTATGTGTTATAATTTCTTGGAATTTTCCCTAACCCTCCTTCCAGTCTTCCACATGTGATCAGCCGAATGGGCAAGTCTGAACCTGTGGACGTCAACTTGTTCTGTTTAGTGGCCATAGACTTTTACAGGCACCAGATTGATGAAGAGCTGGACCGCAGGGCCTTCCAGTCAGTGTTCGAGCTGGTGGCTGCACCAGGAAGCCCGTATCACAGCCTGCTGATGTGTTTGCAGAATGTGAATAAGACGACGGTGTTCTAAGCACTTTGCGGGTGAGGCTGATATTGGAGCAAAATTACAGGACAGTACAAGAAGGGAATGACCCTGGTCTCTTCTTCACTAACATCTCTACCCAGGCCCTACAACCTCACCCACCCCTCCCCGGAGTCACTGTGACTCTCACTCTGCTCTGAATGTCTGTTCTTTGTAAATATCTGATTGCAGTTAGTTTTTTTTTTTGTTTTGTTTTTTTTCTTTTGCTTTACTTCAGTGAATGTAAATGTCCTGTTCTTTTCACGTTTTCCAGTGGGAGTCTGTAACAGCACAAAGCCGCATCACTAAACTCAAAGCACTCGTCTTACTAATCCTTGTCTATGTGGACCCCATTTGTGGAGATGAGGACAGCATCTGCCATAGCACTGAATCATTCCTCTCTAGTGCTGCAGGTGGTGACAGTCATCGCTATGAGTATTGTGGAAGCATGGCGGAGCTGGAAAGAAAAAGATACTCCCCCATAGTCTGCCGTAGAGGCGTCTGTGTACTGAGCACGACAGAATCTTCCCTGCCCTTTTTCACTTAATTTGGGTATTGACATAAATGATTTTAACTCCTATTTCTATATTATGTAAAATATGTATAATTGTAAAACCCTACAGTTCGTGATACTGTCATTTCACATTACAAAAACCACTCTGACAAATCCTCTTGCTTGTACTGACTGGTTTGTAGTCATCATTGGCCCAAACAAAGAAGATTTTTTTGTTTCAATCCCATTTACATCGTCATGCTAATATGTACCTGCCAGCTATATGCAGGGCTTGGGCCCATTTTTTTTTTTTGAGCTGAAACAAAAATAAGCCATCATTAGGAATGTGGGATTGTGCTGTGACAATAAATAATGTCAATCCTTTTTAGAAAATTGATGGGCTACCTCTGTTACCATACTGGTCAGCTTATATAATGGCTTCTTCTTATCGTAGTGGCAAAATGTGTTTAACTGTTTTCTGAGAACTGGCTGGGCAATATAGGGTTCTAATATAGTTTATCCATATAAAGATGTTAAGCAAAACTGTAATTGATTTGTTTACTAGCTTTCTGCTTAAAGGGTAAGTCCATCCCAAACTACTATTTCAAGGATGTTTGAATTCTGGTGGAATGAGCCACCCACTGGCTTTTTCTGTCACTTGGGATTTTGAGGCAAAATCTCTCCACAGTTCCCATTATCCACTTTTCCTGAAACTGCATCTTCTGTGACATAAAATGAATAGAAAAATCTGCAGTGAAAATTAACCCATTTATAGTGGTTGTGGCAGAGTGAGCGGAGCCGGGAACTGCAGAGATCCTGATGCAGGAGTTGTTGATGAATAAAAGATGCTGGTGAGTGATAGAAATAGTTTGTATCAACCATTCTCTGAACTTCTGTTAATTATCTGGCCTATGACTATGTAATATCACATATTTTCTAATTAATAGGACAACTATAGAACTAATCATTTTCTAGCATTCCTTGTTCATGCTGTCCTGACAGTAAAGAAGAAGAAGTAACCTGCCAAGAGCTCCCACCATTGGTTGCCAGGAGTCACTTTCTCAGCGCCAGGTTGCAGGTATACGATCATACAGAGAATCCTGCATTGAAAGTGTAGTTCTCTTTTAAATTAGCTGATCTGCTTACTGTTTAATGCTGTGACTGACCAATTATCAGTATTAGTACCTCTAAATATGGACTGTGGTGGTCGCTTGCAATAGAGGAAACTTTGAAGAATTTCTAGTTTTGTCTTAAATGGCCAGAACACAATTTATAAGTCCGTTTCTCTAAAAGAAGCTTTTACCAATACATTTGTAAAGGTTTCAGCAGCTGACAAGAACTGAATATATTAAAATGTTTTAGTGGGGCAGATATGTGTCTCATGCCACTGCTTTACATACTCTTTTTTTAATTAACTGTATGTTTATTTTTATATAGAGCAGGGAAACGATACAGTATGCAAACTAGACAAGTTTTAGGCCTCATGCACACTGGAACGTTATTGATGCTGCTGTTAGGGGCATTTTTTTTTTCCTGCCTCTAAAGGCCCCTGCATGTTAGCCTATGTGTCCATGCACATGTAGGCATTTAGAGGTAGAAAAACAAAGCCATTACCAGTGCGTTCAGGAGCAATGGCTTTTAAAAAAAAAAATATTTCCTAGTTTTATCTTTTATTGTTTTTAAGTTGAAAAAGTACAAGGAGAGCTTCACAAATACATACAAAATTTGGGAGAAATCCCAAAACATATCCTAATCAAAACAATAACCTTGCATCTAGGTAGCAAAGAATGGATCCCATGATGTTGCATATCTATGCAGACCCGTTGGTGTTGGAATGAATGGCAGGCTCAGCCTGGACTCCCACCAGGCCATGCCCCCAATGCGTTACACTCCGCCCCTCAGAGCTTAATCATGGGGATACATCTGGATAGGAACTATAAATAGTAGGGAACCTGACCACCCAATAATAACTATACAGATCTGGAGTCTCATCTAACATAAGGGAATGTAGATATCACAAAAAAAGGGGAGGGGAGAGGGACAAAAAGGTAAGAGTACAAAGGGTAAGAAGTAGCAATAGAAGAAAGAGAAGAAAAGGGTATTTGGGGGGGAATCCTGACCTAACTCTAAAAACCCAGATCTAAAATGTCCATGTTAAGTGAGAAGGGTGGCTTAAAACCTTGTGAATTACAAAATATCCAAGTGGCCCAGGTCGTGATATGTTTATCCAATCTATCATGCTGCACTGCTAGTAGATATTCCAAATCCATAAGTGGATCCATTTCCAGTACCCATTCAGCTAACGTAGGCACATCCGGGGACCTCTAATGTCTAGCAATGATAACTCTAGCAGCTGTCAAAAAAATGGCAAAGGATATAATATTTTTCTATTCATTGATTGAACCTGGCAGTATAGACGATTAGGTGATTTGAAGGATATTAGGGGCAAGAGTCCCTTTCACTTTACAATAAAGTTGTCGGACAGAAGCTCAGAACCTTTTTAATTGGTGGTTATTCAGCCCAAATATGACTCCCACACTGCTAACACAGACTGGAAAGGGAGGGATAATTTTATTGTACAGTATCTGGGCACCTGTACCATCATGTCAAAACTTTACATTTTTTTCTCGTGTATAGTACTAGCTATAGAGAACTTAAATGACAATAATTAAATACTTTATTCCAGTCTTCCTCGCCAATGTGAATTTTTCATTCCTTCTCCCATAAAGCAGTATAGGCCGGAGGGTTTGGATGAGAAAAAAAAGACAAAATAGAGAAAAATCTGGGAGACTGCATGCTTTAGAGGTAGATCACTGACATGTCCTCAAAGTAGGGCAAGATGTAATTTTTTGTATAGCAGTAATATAAAGAACATTGATTGTTGCTGCAAGGACCAATGGTCCATTTCATAAGTATTTGATAAGGAAACTGTAGAATTTATCTAGGAGCAGTGGCATTTTGGCAGGAAAAGCACTTGCCGCATATAAACGCTTCTAAACACAGGGCACATGTAGCACTTGAGCGTTAATTTATTTCAGTGACCTGAATAAACTTTATTCTGGCCAATTAAATGAATGAAAGCCCAAGCGCCTAAACGGTTTTACACAAATTTACAAGCGTCAACTGTTTTTTTTTTTTTTTTTCTGCCAAAAACTGCTGCCAGGAGGAAAGGCGTCTAGGAGAGCAAAACGTTCAGTATGCATGAGGCCATAGAATAAATGAACATAGCTACAGTTTTGAAGTTAAAGTAGTTATGTAGCTCATTAGGGAACAACCTTTGCAATAGACACAGTTGTCAAGAGCTAGGATCCAAACATTGTATAAGTCGCAAACAAAGTTATTCCAAACTTTGGGTAACCGGCATATCCTCGAATACAATGATGTGTGCATAGGTAGGATTTGAGGTTGGAGTTAAAGTTCAAACCAGAGATTTGAAGCCTTAAGCGGTACAATAGGGGAAACTGTTAAGAGAAAAAGAATTGGTAAACAACATAGGAGAAAGGAGATGTGGGGGTGGGGAGGGTTTCCTGGTCCCAGGGCAGTCCGCCCAACAGCCACTCCAACCATTGTTAGTTCTTTCTGTTTTGTCCCCAGACCAAAGAGGTCAAACTGGATTTGAAGTGACATAGGTATCCAATGGTTTCCATACCTTCTAAAAAGTTGCTGCAGAGTTTAGTCATGAGTTGCGTTCTCCTTTCATTAGTTTGGCTATACTGAGTATGGTCAAAGAGTATGACATCTCTTGTAGAGGTTAACTAGAGCTTTTAAGGTCAGTATACCCAAGTGCTGAAATTATATGTTATTTGTATGCTGCCAGATGGGGATAAAATTTGCAGTGTGTGCGCATCATATCTTCTTGTTGGTAAGTTAGGAAGGAGGTTGTTTTGGGGCCTAGCACTCCAGCAGTGTGAACAAGGAACACCAGATATCCCACATTGCTTCTGTGGAAGAAAGCTAGACAGCATTTGGATATACATAACTCATTTTACTGTGGTAAGCTCCTTCTCCTGAAAGATCTTTCCATCAATGTGCAATCTCATATCACTCAAGTTGGAACTTTGGAAGGAACATAATTAGGAGGACAACTGGCTTATCTTGAGAGTGGGCTAACAAATGCTAACAATCTGTACTTTCCCAGAAATTCTGAGAGCCTATAGCCATATAATCCCTTTCTGATGTGACCATAATTAGCTGGATGGTGCAACAATCACTTTATGAATTTCAGCACAGAAGAACCCATAGGCATAAAGTATGATGGGCTACACAGCAAAAGTGACCAAATGCCACTTGTCTCATTCTCTGTTATGTTACCTGATTGAATACTAATTAATTTTTTTAGTGTTTTTTTTTTTTTTTTTTAGTTAATCTGTCATTTGCAGTTTACTGGGCATTTACTTTGGCGGTTTGACTAGCTGCAGCTTCTTCCCAACTGAAGTGAATAATGCTGCTCCTGTTCTGTAGAAAGAGTAGTTTGTCAGTTAAAACAGAATAAACTGTATCGTAGAGTGGGGCTCAC